TCATTTATTTACACAAAAATTAAATAGAGGCTAATATGTGCTAAATCATATAACTTTTAGACCCTTGATGTCATGCCCAAAGTCAATAGTCAAACTAAATAAAAGCAAAAAAAAATTTGAATACGTGAATATTTATTCATTTAATATTTTTTCAATGATATATTACTCTATTACTCCTATTGCTATAAAGTACAAATTAATAAAATGATATAAAGGGTAAATTATTAATGGATTACATTTGTGTTTATACATTTAGTTTTTTGAGAAGTTATGAAATGTAAATGTGTTTTTGTTAACAGTCATGGCCAAAAGTTTTGAGAATGATTAAAATGTTACTATTTACAAAGTCTACTGCTTCAGTTTTTATAACAGCAATTTGCATATACTACAGAATGTTATAAGGAGTGATCCGTGTAACAGCTATTAAGTGCAAAGTCAATATTTGCCTATAAAATGAACTTTATCCCCCAAAACACATTTCAACGTCATTGCAGCCCTGCCTTAAAAGGACCAGCTCACATTGTTTCAGTGATTGCTCCATTAACACAGGTGTGGGTGGTGATGAGGACAGGGCTGGAGATCAATCTGTCATGATTAAGTAAGAATGACACCACTGGGCACTTTAAAAAGAGGCTGGTGCTTGGCATCATTGTTTCTCTTTCTGTGAACCATGGTTATCTCTAAAGAAACATGTGCATTCATCATTGCACTGCACAAAAGTGGCCTAACAGGAAAGAGAATCGCAGCTAGAAAGATTGCACCTCAGTCAACGATCTATGGCATCACCAAGAACTTCAAGGAGACAGGTTCCATTGTTGCCAAAAAGGCTCCAGGGTGCTTAAGAAAGACCAGCAAGGACCAGGACCTCTTAAGAGTGTTTCAGCTGCGGGATCGGGCTACCAGCAGTGCAGAGCTTGCTCAGGAATGGCAGCAGGCAGGTGTTACTGCATCTGCACGCACTGTGAGGCGGAGACTCTTGGAGCAAGTCCTGGTCTCAAGGAGGGCAGCAAAGAAGCCACTTCTCTCCAGGACAAAATTCAGGGACAGACTGATATTCTGCTAAAGGTAGAGGGAGTGGACTGCTGAGGACTGGGATAAAGTCATTTTCTCTGATGAATCCCCTTTCCGATTGTTTGGGACATCTGGAAAACAGCTGTTTGGAGAAGACGAGGTGAGCGCTACCACCAGTCTGGTCTCATGCCAACTGCAAAGCATCCTGAAACCATTCATGTGTGGAGTTGCTTCTCAGCGAAGGGAGTCGGCTCTCTCACAGTCTTACCTAAAAACACAGCAATGTTTAAAGAATGGTACCAGAATGTCCTCCGAGAGCAACTTCTCCCAGAGACGGGTGGACAAGCGAAGACCTAGGAATTCTGACAAAATGCAAGCATTGATAGTGCAACAATGGACTGCTATCAGTCAGGATTTGGTCCAGAAGTTGATTGAGAGCATGCCAGAGAGAATTGCAGAGGTCCTGAAGAAGAGGGGTCAACACTTCAAATATTGAATTACTGCATTAACTCATTCTGTCATTAAATGGCATGTACTTATATAGCACCTTTATTCAAGTCAGGAGACTTGACCAAAGCTCTTTACACTACATTCATTCACCCATTCACGCACACACTCACACACTGATAGTGGCAAGCTACATTGTAGCCACAGCTGCCCTGGGGCTCACTGACAGAAGTGGGGCTGCCGTTCACTGGCGCCACCGGGCCCTCTGACCACCATCAGTAGACAATGCAGGTGAAGTGTCTTGCCCAAGGACACAACGACAATGAAAGTCGGAGTCGGGGCTTGAACCGTCAATCCTTCGATTTCAGGGCAAACTCCTACATCCAACGCGACTGTCGCCCTTAAAAGCTTTTGTTACACGTAATATGATTGGAATTGTATTTCTGTATGTGATGACAACATCTGACATAGACAGATGAAAACCGGAGGGCAGCAGATCATATGAAAATATAATATTTGTGTCATTCTCAATACTTTTGGCCATGACTATGTGTGTTTTATGTGCATCAGATTGTAGTTTAAGGATCATGTTTCATTTTGCAGAGATGCCTCATAAGGAGAGGAAGTTAAGACCAAAACAAAAGAAGCTGTGTGAGGATGTGAAAGGTGGTGGATCACTCACCAGCTTGATGAGAAAGAGCACAAGAAGTCACAAGTCACTGACATTTTTAAGAGCATGGGCAACAGAAAGTTATTGTTATAACTGCAAAAAAGAAAATGCCACTGTGATGTGTACAACAGCTCAGGTACAGACAGACACTGACAGAATTACAGACCCACAGACCTCAACAAGTAGTCTCTTCCAAACTATCAGCAGTGTGGCAGTGAGCCATTTTTAATTTAGTTATCCTTGCATCTTGCATGAACACATACCTCTTTTTTAGTCAGCTACTATCTCTCAGATGCTCTTTTTAGTGNGTCTATAAATCTCTGAATGCGCTTGAGCACCTGCCCCTTGATGCCCAAAGTGCCCTTTTGCCAGTTATTATTATTTATTTTTTAAACTGTGTGCTTATATCTATGTGTATGGGTACGTTTGTGTGTGTGCATGCCCAAAATAATAATAGTTTAGACCTACCGTGCCGCGGTAACCGTGGCTGGTCACATGATCAACACAACTTGCCCTTCTGCTAATAGCTAAGCGCTGCTTCAGAAAACCACTACAACTCCCAATTCCAGCAAAAGTAAACTACTGGTCCGGTAACTGGGTTCTGCAGCGTTGTTAGTTTGTGCACAGTTTATTGTTGCAAGATGAGTAGACTGACCAAGTAAAATGAGCAATGAGCAATGTGCTGTTCAAATTTGCACACACCGACCTCTCACAACTTATAGCCGCTTGTCAGCGGCGCAAAAAACAAAGTCTACTGTCTACTGCAAAGTCTACTGCTTCAGTTTTTATAACGGCAATTTGCATATACTCCAGAATTTTATAAAGAGTGATCAGCGTAACAGCAATTAATTGCAAAGTCAATATTTGCCTATAAAATGAACTTTATCCCCCAAAACACATTTCAACGACATTGCAGCCCTGCCTTAAAAGGACCAGCTACAGTAACATGGTTTCAGTGATTGCTCCATTAACACAGGTGTGGGTGGTGATGATGAAAGAGCTGGAGATCAATCTGCCATGATTAGGTAAGAATGACACCACTGGACATTTTAAAAAGAGGCTGGTGCTTGGCATCATTGTTTCTCTTCTGTGAACCATGGTTATCTCTAAAGAAACACGTGCAGTCATCATTGTACTACACAAAAATGGCCTAACAGGAAAGAGAATCACAGCTGGAAAGATTGCACCTCTGTCAACAATCTATGGCATGATCAAGAACTTCAAGGAGAGAGGTTCCATTGTTGCCAAAAAGGCTCCAGGGCACCCAAGAAAGACCAGAAAGTGCCAGGGCCGTCTCTTAAAAATGTTTCAGCATCGGGATGGGGCTACCAGCAGTGCAGAGCTTGATCAGGAATGGCAGCAGGCAAGTGTGAGTGCATCTGCATGCACTGTGAGGCAGAGACTCTTGGAGCAAGGCCTGGTCTCAATGAGGGCCGCAAAGAAGCCACTTCTCTCCAGGAAAAACATCAGGGACAGACTGATATTCTGCAAAAGGTAGAGGGAGTGGACTGCTGAGGACTGGGGGAAAGTCATTTTCTCTGATGAATCCCCTTTCCGATTGTTTGGGACATCTGGAAAACAGCTGTTTGGAGAAGACAAGGTGAGCTCTACCACCAGTCTTGTCTCATGCCAACTGTAAAGCATCCTGAAACCATTCATGTGTGGGGTTGCTTCTCAGCCAAGGGAGTCGGCTCTCTCACAGTCTGACCTAAAAACACAGCCATGAATAAAGAATGGTAGCAGAATGTCCTCAGATAGCAACTTCTCCCAACCGTCCAAGAGCAGCTTGGTGATGAACAATGCCTTTTTTCAGCATGATGGAACACCTTGCCATAAAATAAAGGTGATATCTAACTGGCTCAGGGAACAAAACATAGAGATTTTGGGTCCATGGTCTGGAAACTCCCCTGATCTTAATCCCATTGAAAACTTGTGGTCAATCATCTAGAGACGGGTGAACAAACAAAAACCTAGGAATTCTGACAAAATGCAAGCATTGATTGTGCAAGAAAGGACTGCTATCAGTCAGGATTTGGTCCAGAAGTTGATTAAGAGCAGCCAGGGAGAATTGCAGAGGTCCTGAAGAAGAGGGGTCAACACTGCAAATATTGACTTGCTGCATTAACTCATTCTGTCATTTAAAGCTTTTGTTACTCGTAATATGATTGCAATTATATTTCTGTATGTGATGACAACATCTGAAATACACACATGAAAACCAGAGGGCAGCAGATAATGCGAAAATATGATATTTGTGTCATTCTCAATACTTTTGCCACAATGGTATGTGTGTTTTATGTGCATCAGATTGTAGTTTAAGGATCATGTTTCATTTTGCAGAGATGCCTCATAAGGAGAGGAAGTTAAGACCAAAACAAAAGAAGCTGTGTGAGGATGTGAAAGGTGGTGGATCACTCACCAGCTTGATGAGAAAGAGCACAAGAAGTCACAAGTCACTGACATTTTTAAGAGCATGGGCAACAGAAAGTTATTGTTATAACTGCAAAAAAGAAAATGCCACTGTGATGTGTACAACAGCTCAGGTACAGACAGACACTGACAGAATTACAGACCCACAGACCTCAACAAGTAGTCTCTTCCAAACTATCAGCAGTGTGGCAGTGAGCCATTTTTAATTTAGTTATCCTTGCATCTTGCATGAACACATACCTCTTTTTTAGTCAGCTACTATCTCTCAGATGCTCTTTTTAGTGTCTACACTATCAGGTCAATAGAGTCCACCTCCAGCAACACAGCAGCACCAACCCCCTCAGCAGAAGCTGTTCGATCCACAAATGAGGTAAAACAGACTCATTTCGCCTTGTACTGACCTCTAACAAACATTTGAGTATATGCGTTATTGTGTGTTGTGATTGGGTTGGTACAATTCAACCGGTTGTATAGCAAGATATGTTTCTGTATCGTGTTTTAAATCTATGCTCCATCTGGCCCCCTTTTACCGTTGAGCACCTGCCCCTCCAACTGTCTCTGCACATCTCTGCATCACATGCCTTGATTTTTTATCAATGGGTGCTTTTTGAACTGCTCTTTGTCTGACCTCTCACCCAGAGCCTGTCATCCTTGGTAGACACTACCGGGGGGCATTTAAGCCCCCGCCAACACAGCCCCTGGGATCATCCTGGCACTAAAACATCTCCACCACCAGCGCATTTCGTCGATTTTTGCTGATGATATGGTTCTACTGGCTCTCTCCTGCCAAGCCTACAGCCTAATCTCTGGGGCGGTTCGCCTGAGAATCAGCACCCCCAAATCCAAAGCCATGGAACTTGACTGGAAAAAGGTAGCTTGTCCTTCAGTTTGGAGCCCCGTCCTGCCTCAAGTGGAGGAGTTCAGCTATAATGGGGTCCTGTTCATGAGTTAGGGAGAATGGAGCGGGTCAGCTGAGTGAAATTGCAAAGCTCTCAATTTTCCTGTCGGTTTACATTCTTACCTTCTTACTTTCATCTATGATGATGAAATCTGGATCACGATCAAAAGAGCGAGATCCCGGATACAAGCTGCTAAAATCTGCTTTTTCCACAGGAAAACGGCATTCCCTTAGAGAGAGGGTGAGGAGCTCAGCCATTCAGGAGAGGCTCTGACTAAAGCCGCCTGTCTTCTGTTATTATTACTTTTCAAAATTACGTTTTTAAAAACTAATTTTCTTCGGATATCTTTTATAAAAAGTGTTCTTTGCTTTCAATAATATTGTAGCAAATCCTTCTCCATTAAAAGTGTTCTTAGGGATGGAGGGTCCTACCGTTTCTATGCTGTATAATTCCAGCCTTTTTTGCTTCGCGGTCTGAAGCGGCTCGGTCTCCAGGACCTCCTACCACATCGCTGGTGACGCCATCATAGCTGCTGTGCTCTGCCTCATCTACAGTATTCGCTGTAGTGTTACCAGGCATGTTAGATGAATTGAGATGGAAGCATAACATTCCACAGCACTTTTGCTTTTTTGCTTCTGGTGCCAAATTGGAATTGTTTTTTCCAGTTCCCTCTGGAGAAGACAGACATACTTCACTGCTGCTGAAGCTCTGGGAGCTTATCTGGCGCAGCATGGTTAGTGACATCCTCTGGCTGTTAACTGCATCTTTTCCACTGCTGTTGTCCTGGTCCTGAGCCTGGCTCGACTTTGTGCCGGCCCCAGATCCCTTTAGACCTTGAACATCTTTAGCTCTTTTCTCCGTCTCCTGGTAGATCTTCCAAAACAAAATGGCCATGATGCTCACTGGTAAGTAAAACGCAGCAATCGCGGTGCAGAAGGTGATGATGGGCTCGGACAAAAACTGGATGTAACACTCATTTGGCTGAACCGTGCGCTCGCCCACAATATACTGCCAGAACAGTATAGCCGGAGCCCAAAGAATGAAGGAGATGGACCAGGCCAAGCTAATCATGGTCATAGCTCTTTTGGTCGTACGTTTGGCCCGGTAGGTCAAAGGTCTGGTCACAGAGAAATACCTAAGGGAACACAAAAAAACAATCAAGTGAAATTGATCAACAGAGACAGGAACTTGCTGGAGAAGATTCTCAGTCATCCAGGCTATAGTCATTCCAAAAAAGTTATAAAACAATCCACTGGACTTTGTTTCCATCCAGGAAGATTTTTAAATTCAAAATGTCAGAAAAAAACCTTCTTTCTTTCTTTTTCTTTTCTTTTTATTTATTCTTTTGTTTTGGGGCAGTCGGTAAACAGCAGCTAGGTTAATACCGCAATCAAAGACATCGTTTTCTGCAGACCAGGTGCCTCTGGGCACGTCGCTGCCCCATTCAGGACACTGGCTTGTGCATCACTTCATGGGCATTACCCTGCCGT